GTGATGTGGATGAGAGAGGAGGCGCACGGGAGGGGAGGGGAGGGGAGAGGAGGCGCGCGGGAGGGGAGAGGAGGCGGCGGCAAGGCGGGAGGAGCTGGGCGCGGGGGAGGCGCAGGGCAGAGGCATGAGCGAATGAGGAGGGAGGCGGCTGCGGGAGCGAGCGAGGGAGGAGGCGGCTAGGTCTCCTTCACAGGAGAGGCCGGTCCTTTTATACCCCCACCACGCGAAATGACCGAAATGCCCTGGTGGGGGCATGGTATTTACATTCTGTTGCCATTACTATTCATTCCAGCAGTGTTTCATCCAGATCCGACGGCCTAGATCCTCCCACTTCTCGATCCAACGGCCCAAAACTCATCAAGCATTTTGATCCGACGGCCCAGAATCGCTGATCTATGAGGAGGCTTGTAGGAGCCTTCTTCTCTTATTTCTGGATTTGTTTTGGTGTGTGCGGGAGCGGGACGACATACGTACGTAGAGCTGCGGGGGCTTTCCCACGGCCGGTCTGTATTTATTTGTCGGTCGTGACCGTGATACCTGCCGACCGACCTCGAGTGTAACTCGTCCACTACTAGGAGTCGGAGTTTCATAGTTTCCACTAAACAGATACACCCGCACCCGCGAATCGTTTTCACTATCGAGACGAGCGACTAGAAACCCTAATAGCCGCAAGGAGAGCCTAGTCTTCCCGCCCTGTCCTCTGGCGGCTTCCCTCCGCCGAATGACCTCTCGGTCATTGGTGGTGAGGGGTCGTCGAATTCCGCGCATGTGGATCATCTAGCTTTAGGTTTTAGAGGCCTAGTACCTTAGGTTTTGGGTTATTCGATGTGTTGGTTTAGGCAGCGGCGACACAATGCCGAATAAAGAAACTCCAGAACCTTTCCTGACGACACGATCATCTCTATGGTTGATGATGGATTTGGTAGCTAATCTGCTCAAGCGGGGATGTCGTGGCGGTGACGGCATCCTTGTGGTGGACTTGTGTCCTTGAGCTTCACGATTGCGACGACATCTCCTCTAGCGCCGGTGCGGACCTTGGAAGGTAGTCTAGGAGCGGATGCAGATTGTGGTTTGAATTGGCGACATCTGGAGGACAGATCATATGATGGGTCCATGGTTGATGGCTGACAATTATGGTTTTCTCCAACATCCAGCCATTTCGAAGATCTGGCACCCCCGCACGACTAAGATCTGAAGCTCGATGGCGTGCCCGGGGTGCTGTCCCCGCCAGATTCTTTCAACGGCAATGGCTTTGTCTTTGGGAAGCTACTTTGAAAGTTCGCAAAGCTGCATATCAGCGATGGAGCCGGTTTGATCTTTGGTGAATAGGTGATTCATCGCATTTGTCATTGGTGGTTGTTGCGATGGTGTCGAAGGCAAATGCTGGCCGTTGGAGTCATGCTCAAAGGCTAAACATAGGACGTACTGTCGACACATGATGAACATGTACAATGGTTAAATCTTGTGATGTTTACTCATTGATACTAGCTAGTGGATAAGGCAGCAATATGCATGCATGTAATGATGGGTTACAATGTAATATTGTGATGTTTTACAGTTTCTTATAGGTATCAATCTAATATATGCATGTATTATGTGCAAAACGCTGCCATGGCAGAAAAATGCTACCGCAACAATCTTACTTATTAATTTACCCATCGATTGTCAGTGGCGGATTAGTATTGATGCCCCCCCTCACCGATAACACTACTGTTAGTAGCGGGCACGGTGCCCACCATTGATAACACATGTTAGCAATGACGAGAGATCAGTGGCGGGTGCCCTTCACTTCCTCGCCTGCCACTAGTAGGCTTTTGCACAAACTATTGCTAGGTTGTTTTGCAGTAGTGTTTCAGTGAGATGCGAGACATGTGGAGAACTTGGAGTGTGAAATGTCTTGGTTCACCGGAAGAGTAACCCTCCTATAGAAGCATCACTCAATTTCTTGTGTAGTTACTTAAACTCCCTATGTAATAGGTTGTTGAGTATATAGCAGATTATCAGGCAAGGCTGATGTTGATAATGCCTACAGTAGGAGAGACTCATCAAGCCATCCATTGGATCAACTATGGTCACTGCCACTGACAAACCGGTGCTCACAATTGATCGACCTTTTTCTCATCATTGACTTCCATAAGGCCTACGACACCGTCCACGGGTCCTTCATTAGGGAAGTGTTGCTCTGCAAGGGCTTTGATGATCGTTGGGTGACAAGGGTCGTGCAACTTGTCTCTAGTGCCCGGACGGACGTCAATATTAAAGATGAGGTAGGGTCGTTCTTCCCCACTTTCTATGGGGTGAGATAGGGAGCCCCTTCTCCTTGTTCCTATTTAATATGGTCATGGACGCTCTTTTCGCGATCCTTAACAAGGCCAAGGCATCCGGTCACATTCAAGGAGTGGTTCCTCACCTCGTGGCTGGAGGGGACTCTATGCTGGAATACTCGGATGATACCATCATAATGGTCGAAGGATCTGATGTGGATATTTTGAGCCTCAAATTTCCCCTACTTTGCTTCTAATGGATGTCGGGATTAACCATCAACTTTCATAAAAGTGAGGTCATGGTCTTGGGGTATGATGATACCACGTGTCAAGGCATTGCCTACAGATTGAACTGTCGATTGGTGACTTTCCCCACCTCTTTTCTAGGGACCCCATTAGTGATTCTAGACTCTCGGTGTCGGATCTTTGTTTGTCCGTCTCCAAGATTCAGTATCGAGTTGAGCCTTGGCAGGGTAGGTGTCTCTCGAAGGCAGCATGGAAGACACCCCTAAACTCGTCCATGACTAGCCTTCTAATGTTCATTATGGGCTTCTACAGCCTCCATGAAACTCTCCATCATGAGATAGCCACTTTCCAATCAAAATTCTTCTGGGCGGGCAAGGGTGATAAAAAATACCGCATGGTTAAGTGGTCTCATTTGCAAACCTAATGACCAGGGAGGTCTAGGGATTGTGTCCTCCAAGAGGATGAACATTGATCTCCTGTCCAAGTGCCTTTGGCACATAGCGAACAATGAGGGTGGGCTTTGGCTGGAGATTATCCAGTCCAAGTACTTGCAGGGACAAGCCTCTGGCGTTTCGTTAATGCTTCAGGGCCTCTCAATTCCAGCAATCTATAATTCAACTGCTTTTGGTTCTCGGGATTGGCACTTTGATTTCTGTAGGGTCTGGCTCGTCGAATCTATTGTGGATTGACCGTTCAGTGGGCGATAGGCCATTTGCCGTCCGCTTCCCGGAGATTTTCTCCATTTGCTCCTTACCCTATATCTCTGACGAGGTTGCCATTATTGATCTTGGGAGCCATGCTTTTTGTCATGCGGTTGGCCTTGCTGAACAAGATGCTTGGAAGGGCCTCTTTGAGTGTGTGGCCCTTCACACCCCGAGCTTCGAGCGGGACCGAGTCTCCTAGCACCTTGAATCCAGTCACCGGTTCTGCACTAGATCCCTCTACCACGCCATTGCTCCCTTGACTAGCCAAGAACCCCTGATTTTACTTTGGAAAATTAAACTCCCCTTGAAGATCCATAGTTTCCCTTGGCGGTGGATTCATGGTCGAGTACCTTCAGAGGTGGAGGTACTCAAACGTCATGGACCAGGTGATGGTTTGTGTCCTCTTTGTGATATGGGCAGAGGACTCAAATCATATCTTCTTCTTGTGTGTTTCGGCATAATTCTTGTGGAGTTGCTTTAGGGAAGTGGTACGTGGTGCCACACCTACTTACCTGACCTCTTTTTGGAATTGATGGCCTGGCCTCTAGGGACACACCACATTATGTGGATTGGGATTGGCGTCCTTGCTTGGACCCTTTGGACGATTCATATAATAAGCTAGTTATCGAACGCTCTCCGTTGCGACCCTCGATTGATGTGATATATAAATTTTGTGGCTTTATGCAGCTTTGGAGGCCGCTTAGCTGTACGATGGATCACATGTCCATTAATGCTCTATCGACTGGCTTCAGGACCTTGGCTCTTCGCATCCGCCCCTTCCGCCACCATCTTCAGAGCTAGGTTAGCCATGATGGTTGCTAACCCCTATGTGTCACTTTCTGGTTTTGGGCTTGTTGAGCTGGGGCCCTCAGCATGGGCCTCTTCCTGTGTTTCATTTGCCCTCTGTGAACTGTTTTCGTTCTTTTTTTGTTGATACCCATTGTTGTTCTGTTTGTTAACTTTGGATGCTTGTGTCGTGTGGTGCTTCATTCATAAAGCGGGGCGTAAAGCCTTTTTTTATAGGTGCAGGTATGTCACTCACAAATGATGCAGGAGAGGTCATCATTGCCTCCTGTCAAATGTTGTTTTACAATAACGGATATATTTGTTTTTTTAAGAAAGACGGTACAAGGACAGACGCTCACATGCACACGTACATTCACCCCTATGAACATACACACGCACATCCTACCCATAGGAGCATCTCCGAAAGACTGAGGTGGCAAACCTTGAGATTAACAAAGTCACCTGAGGCACTTTGCAATCGACGGGAACATCATCTCCCACTAAACACACATCGCCGAAATGTCTAAATTAAAATTCAGAAAAATGTGAACACCCATGTCAAGTCTGATAGACTTGAATTTTGATGGGCTGGTTCCACCAAAAAATCTAACCATCTATGTTTACACTCAATCTGCTATTCATATGCATATCTTACAAACTCAACACTCCCTACACATCCATCCCCACGGTGTTCTCATTGACCACAAGGACGTCGTCCATCTCCTTTTCCTTGGTATCGTTGTCCTCCCCAGCGGGAGCCACAACCACTGACGTGCTGGGCTTGTACTCGTGCCGCCTTGCAATCACCACGAACACAAGGAAGTTCACCACCCCAAGCACAGCCAGCATCCAGTAGAACAAGTCAAGCCTCCCCCTATCCAGGTTATTCCGTATCCATGCCCCTCTTGTCACGGTGTGGACGAGGAAGACGAGGAAGCTGCTCAGGAAGAACCCCATGGACAGCGTAACCAGAAAGAGCCCCGTGCTCATGGACTTCATCCGCTCCGGCGCCTCGCGGATGAAGAATTCGAGCTGCCCCACGTACGCGAATGCCTCGCCGGCGCCCACGAGGAAGAACTGCGGCACCAGCCAGAACGCGCTGATGGCGACGCGGGGCTCCCCGTTCGCGGCGTCGCGGCGCATCTTCTCGACCAGCGCGCTCACGACCATGGCCACGGTTGCGAAGACCAGGCCCGTGCCTACGCGCTGGAGCGAGGTGAGCCCCTGCGGGCGGCCGGTGAGGCGGCCGGCGAGCGGCACGAGGAGGCGCTCGTTGAGGGACGTGAAGAGGAGGATGGAGAGGAAGAGGAAGACGGAGAGGGAGCCGGCGGGGATTTCGAAGCCGGCATTGAGGCGACGGTCCATGCGGGTGGCTTGCTCCACGGAGAATGTGGTCATCTGGGAGTATATTGTCCAGAAGAGGATGCAGGTGGACCAGATAGGCAACAAGTTCAACACCATCTTCACCTCCTCCACTTCCGTCATTGTTGAGGCTGACGCCTGCTCCTGCTTGGTCGGACTTGCGGCCAGGTCGACTGGTTCCATGACTGCGGCTTTGTCTAGGCACCTGCATTGGGATCACAAAAGTTAATCATGCACATTTTAAACAAAACTTGGACAAACATCGTATATAAGAATGGCATTGCTTGATATAAAACAGTCTATCTTAAACCCATCTACCATGTTTTCTTTTTCTATTTTTGGATCTGAATACATTTGAGCTCGGAGCAGAAGATCCATGTCCCCGAGTTATCATTTTTGTTAGCTTCCCTGGCGCCTCCATCTCAGCGTCGACACAGACATAACACGGGGACAAGTGGCGTGCTCGTACTAGCGGAAGAGAACACATCATAATTATGAAGTCCTAGCTGTCCCGGACGAACGGTGATGATCCACGGTCCATGTTAACCATGGGAAACTATGTGGCTGATATCCAAAACACCATTTTGTTTATTTCGAACAAAATAACATAAAATGATGATGGAAACAACAAACGGTCCAGCAGTGATATTATAATACGAACAGCTAGCCACATGCAGATGATCCTACTCAAACAGCAAGTAGCACATCTTGTCAGCATCTTTTGGATGGAAATGGCCCATCCACCATTATTGTTCTTGCGTGGTAGTGTTAACAGTTTCGGTAACAGAAAATTTTCGTATCTCATGCATATATCCAAAATTTAAGTAATTTCCTATTTTTTGGATTTCAATCTATCAAATTGACTTAATTTTAGTAAAAAAGGGATTAAATTCAAATATGGTTTGAAATTAGTTTGAACGAACTTCATTAATGCATGAAACTAGCACGTAGTTAATCGCCGGCATCTAGTTAACACAAAGTGTCTGTCTAGAACACATCTAGTTATGTCACATCTAAGCTGATGTCCACTCTGTTTGTGGTACGGTCTATTTTTTTTGTCCTAATTTATTTTTCTTTTTGATGCATTATATATTGGATATACATTTGTGGGAGCTTAGATGTGACATCTTTAAAAAACATCTAGATGTGAATTAGACAAACTGATGTCTAGGACACATCTAGATCATAGTTATGTCACATTTAAGCTGATGTCCACTCTGTTTGTTGTACGGTCTATTTTTTTTGTCCAAGTTTTTTTCTTTTTGATGCATTATATATTGGATATACATTTGTGGGAGGTTAGATGTGACATCTTTAAAAAACATCTAGACGTGAATTAGACAAACTGTCAAAGGCATCCAAATATACCTGAGCCTGTCAGTATGGGCCACCTTTGCCGTGTGGAATCCATTGAGCTCGTCGGCGTTGGCAGGGGTCGGCAGCTTGCGCTTCTTCCACGCCGTCCACAGCACCCTACCGATGACCGTGAGCGGGCTCCCCGCCGGCCGCCGGTACCGGTACTTGGACGTCCCCGCCACGAGCACGAGGACGCCGAGGGCCATGGCGGCGGCCGACACGCCGTAGCCCCAGCCCCGTCCGACGTTGTCCTGCACGTACACCAGCACGGTGACCGCGAACAGGGACCCGAGGCTGATGCAGAAGTAGAAGCGGTTGAAGAAGAAGACCATGGCGCGCTCCTCCCGCGGGTTCCGGCCGTCGAACTGGTCCGACCCGAACCCCGACACGTTCGCCTTGAGGCCCCCCGCGCCGGCCGCGATGACGTACAGCGCCACGTACAGCAGCGCCAGCTGCCCGCCGCTCGCCGGCACGCACTCGTGCCCCTGCGCGCCCCGCGCGTCCACGCACGGCGGCGGCCTCATGCTCGGCACCACCGTGTCCACCGTCAGCAAGCTCACGCCCTGTGTTGGTCCATCGGTTAGCGACGCAATGCATGCAGACGCACGCTACAAGTGGAAGTGGATGCGTGTGGTAGGTTAATTACTGCGGCGGCGATGGTGGCCGAGCAGGCGATGGTGAGGTACCGGCCGAGCTTGGCGTCGGCGAGGAAGCCGCCGACGAGGGCTAGGAGGTTCAGCGTGCCCATGAAGTTGGTGACGACGTTGGCGGATTTGGCGTTGGAGAGGTGCAGCTCGCCGACGAGGTACGTCACCAGGTTCATCGAGATGCCTATCACGCACACGCGCTCCGCAAGCTCCGTCCCTGCACTAGCAAGTCCGGATTAACGCCATTGATGGTTTTACACGCGCCCTGAGCTCATAATACAGCCTTCAAATTCAAGTGCGCCGGCTGCGGCGCACATGACGGCGTACATATACATACCTAGGATAAGTCCGGCTCCGAGCCATCCCCCGGTCTTGGATTTGTCCACCGGTTTGCCGCGGAAGTCGACCGCATCGTCGGCGTCGCTGTAGCCGCCATGGCCACCGGCAGAAACCTGCATGCGTTTGCACAGAACCGTGAGCAACTCGCCATGCAATCGCATGCAGTTAATTAATCACCCTCATGCAAGCATGTCCGTTAATGTCTGGGCACTCACCATTGCCGGTGCTAGCTTGTGTACGTAGACAGGGAAGGAGGAGAGGAACGTTTGTGTTGTGAGGCAGGCTGAGAGGATGAGGAAGGAGGAGATCGATGATTTAAGCTCTCGTGGTTGTGGTTGATGTTGAGTTTCGCTGGTTGCTTTTCTGGATGAACTTCCGTTTCTGGCCAGGTAGCTCGAAAAAAGAGAAAAAGTGGAGATGATCTAGCGGCAGTGAGCAGTCAGGGATTGGAGACCCCTAAAATATATATGTCAGGGACTGGAGAATGTATGCTGGCCACGCCTTTGCCGTCGAACGGACAAGTAGATGATGGCCTGGCCGGTTGCGTGGTTTGGGGTGGGTGGCTCTGGCTTGGCCAACATTTTGGTCTTTTGGGTGAAGGGGGGATGATTGGCCGAAGGCCGCAATTTTTCCATTTCGTAATCATCCTCCGTGTGGATTATCGACTCGTACTATAAGCATATTCCGTACCGGTCCACCCGTAGGTGTAACATCAATATTTTTGAATGATATATGAAGATTGCCTACCGCCTGCCGCGCGGTAGGTGTAACATCAATATAATCCTAAACGTATGTACCTATTACTTGAGTTTTACTCTCTGGCTCTTTGCCCCCCTACTTTTAGCCGGTGCGGCCCCCAATCACCAATCCTACTAACCCATGTTAATTCCGTTAAAACATAACAAAGCTCCCATAGCTCTAGCATTACCCGCGACTCCGTGCATAGTACTTTCTCCTCTATTTTGTTTCTCGAAAAACTTGTAGCTAAACCTGGGTGTATTGTATTGCACCCTTGATGGACAGTAACATCAAAAAAAATAGCAAGAAGATCAACAATTCTGAAATTTTGTGGCTTCGAATACACACCAACGTTTTAGAAACGCATGTGTTTATGGCCGATGAGCGGCTCACAACATTTCACACATGGGATAACTTGCACGAACGATAGGGCATTAGAGTTCTCATTTTTATGTAAAAGGAACTGTAATCCCCCTTTTCATAGTTTTGCAGCCATATCTCCCCATACCTAAGTGGTTGTAATGAAGGCGTAGGGGTTAGCCGAGAGAGTTAAATTGGACAGAAGAGGCATGATGCATGAAGAGCTTGGCTTGGTGGCTTCGAAAGCACCGGAATGGGTGCATCTTCGACAGGCAACACCCCTCCATCTCGCGCCTGGTGCAACAAGTCCAAGACGACGCATGCCGATGGGCCAAGGCAGGGGCCTCCGGGATAGGTAGCTTGTTGCTCGAGAGATAGGCTTTTGTCACAGTGGGCTGAGCATCCCATGTCTCTGCTCCGGTCATTCACTCCGGGATAGATAGTGTTACCGAAAAAGGCTTTCGCCCTGCTTTATAAATAAAGCAAACCACCACAGCCACAAAGTACCACAAGAGTTCACTCACCCACACGCACACACAGAGAGAGTCGCACAACGAAGAGTACAAGAGGGTTCTGTTGAGGGCACAACTCAACAAGCCCTAAAATGAAAACAAAGGTGGAACAACCGCAGCCGCAGCAGCAACAAAGAGTCTAGTCCGGCTCGGGTGGTGGAGGAGAAGCGGCGGTGCCAAGCGGAGAGCCATCGAGCAGAGGTCGGCGCTGATGGTGTTGATGGTGTCTCGGTCCTGGTGACGGCTAAGCGGCCGCCAGAGCAGCAAGTAACCACACAATTTAAAGACCGTGTCAGTGGCACGTCGAAGAGGAGCACGCTAGATGACAAGCTTGTTGTGCACAGTCCAAAGCGTCCAAACAAGGACTGCAATGAGCAGCCACCTAATGTGGCGGCCTGACGGGGCAGACAACTGGACCTCGATGAGGAGGTCGGGGAAGTTAGTATTACACCAGCTACCGCCGACAACCTCACGGAGGCAGCCCCAAAGGAACTGGATGGAGACGCACGAGAAGAAGATGTGATTTAAGGTTTCCTCGGTCCCACATAGGGGGCAAATCCCATCGCCCGGGCCGTGCCGTTTTACCACCTCCACGCCGGAGGGATAGATAGTGTTTGAACCGAGTGTCATGTACTTTCTCTGTAGGTTTTTTCCCTTTACATAGGTGGAGCGCATATTCCTGCATCGTGTCTGGACGCACTTCACGTGTGGGCAGTGCGAAACACAGCCAGTTTGGTGGCCAGGACGATCCGATGGATTTGTGGGACAAGCGAGGGGGAGCCACCGCGTGAAGCCGGTCGCCGACGTGTCCCCCGGACCGCGTGGACGCACAGCGCCGCCGGGCCACACGTAGAAGTTGGCTACGGCACCGCCACCAGGTGGCTGGCTACAAGACGAAGGTTGCTGTCCACGCTGACTTGTCAAGATCTCAATGGCTGGCGCGGTTCGACGTGGACGGACGGCTCCTTCCTGCGCGACTGCCAATCTGCCAAGCAACCAGCTCCACCGGCCGAATGGAGTTTGAGTTTTTGGACTGACCGGATGGGGATATGCATCCATGCAGGCCAGGCAATTCCGACGCTGACGTGGCGCCAGCTAGCGATTATCGGCAAGGCCAAGACAAAAATCAACCCGCCACTGATGATTTGCGTGGCGGGACGTCTCTACAATCTCAGCTCGATCATGCTTCTCATCGGTTTGATGCCATTTTCGGCAGAACAGTGCAGTATTTTCTCTCAGTTTTGTCCACTAGCAAGAAAACACGCACTCAGGCGATGCCATACACGCGTGTGTAATCAGCCCGATGGTTTTAGGAAAACGAAACTACTTTGTGCACGATGACCGGTGGCCGATTTATGCATGATCCATAATCGGACGCCGTTGCATATGCCGCTTCGTCACACCAACGGTGTGATTAACAACGTCCTGCATAAATTGGCGTGGTCTAGCGTATAGCAGGTCTTTTGGGAAAAAGGCTCGTGCTACGTGTTGGCTGGCTCATCTTTGGTAAAGATTGATCGGGTCGTGAGCCGTTCGCCTCTCTTCTCCGTCTGTCTGTGACAACACAACCCATGTTGTAAACCTTGTTGCAACACGACCCATGTCGTCTCCGGCGTCCTCCACAACATCGGCTCCAGCACCGGCGACCGGCGTTTGCAACATTGCGGTGTCTCCCACGACTTTGGCTCGCAGTTGTGCAAAACGAGACCGACCACGGAGCATCACCATGCCGTACTCGTTGTAGTAGCGTCGACCCGGCTCACCCGTACGTGCCCGTTGCCGTTGGATTGAACACACAGATTCAAACCGTAGACAAAGTCATGTGTAGGTGCATGCGTAGCTGCTGGTTGCTACAGGGTTGCATATTGCGCACTCTGGCAGTCGTTATAAAATTCACGTTCATGCACAGAGAGGCTCGGGATGTTGGTCTTGGTCGTCGGCGCCAAAGATGGCCACTGCCGCGGGCGGGGGGGTGAAAGAGAAAACTGAAAAGGGATTGGGGGAAGAACAGCTACAGCAGAAGCCAGAAGGGACCAAGGATAATCTCTGGTGGTTAAGAGGAAGAGGAAGGCCACTGCCGGCGACATCCGCGGCAAGGCGGCACGATGACCCCTAACCCTAGCACGTCTGGGCAGCGGCGGCTCAGACTAATCTGTCGATTTTCGGCCTCATACCATCATATACTTTGCACTCGTTTTGGACCAATAAATCCTAACCCAACTCAAAGAGGTAATAGCACGGCAGGTCCCTAAAGTTGCAGTGGATGTGATGATTTGGTCCTTGAAGTTGAAAAGATGGATTATTTCATCCCTCAACTTGTCATGGATGTGCAAATTTAATCCAGGACCAATCAGAACTCGCCAAGTGGAGCCAGCTGGCCTGGGCCGGTCAGCGCCGTGCATTTTGCTGTTTACCCCCTGCCTTTATCACGCATCAACCCGCACTACTACACCTGAGTTAACTGGTGGGTATATTCCTTCTCTGAGTCTCATTGCACAAAACAACGTCTGCACTGTAAAGTTTTGCGCAGCAATTAAGGGGACGATACACATACAGTACATGCCTTGATTCTTTTGGGCAAAGATGGATAGTATATAGATTCAATTGGTATATACTGGATGATATATATGCTCCTTCATTTTCTGAAAACAAGCGTCAAGTATTTCAGAACAGAGGCAGTAGTAGTATGTTTGTGTTTGTAGCCTGTTCGGCATAGGAGCTCGCATCAATTCAAATGCATTTCTTTTTGTCGCATGTATGTCTGTTATTATCTGTGCTCGGCTCAGTACATGGAATTAAAAAGTGTTTTCAGGATCACATAGCTGCTTCCAAGGAAGTGTTGTTTGTGAGCTGCTGAATTCAGTGCTCTGCAGACTGCATCCTTCTCCTTCAGGTTAAGGTAGATAACATTGCAGTTGTTGTAGCAAGGAAGGAGTGACTGTGCTTCTGAAACTACATCATGGTTCCACACAAGCCTAATCACTGCTTCCTGGTTTTGCAAGCACCAGCAGCAGCCTGAGGTTGGTGGTGATCTGGAAAATTAATTTGATGCTTAACCTGACTTTCCTTCCACTGTTACCACTCCAGTCTGAGATTTTTGCTGTGAGGTTTCATATGGTTTTGAGACAACCGAGTCCCATTTTCTGATGGATTGTTTTTTCTCTGTTTCTATGTTCAGCTATCCACTCTGAATTTCATTGCAAGGGAGAAATATCCTGTCTCTCCTTGTGGATATTAAGATATTTTTATCTTTGACAAACATACTAACATAACTTTTTTTTCCTTGTGGCTGAAACTATGTAAGCTGATTTGATACGCAGTTGGTAGCTCGGTACAAGTGGACGCTGACAAGATAAAGAGCTTAATTTTTTGGGTGGCTCATGATGTTAATATCTCGCGCGCCCCTGTCATAATCTTCAGAGTTTTTAGCGGCTCACAATGGGTTCAGATATTATTCTGAAGTCTATTTATCGTCATCTTTTCACCCGTCTAGTCTTAATAAGGTACGTACATCATTGGCGCTTCACCGTAAAGCATTTGTTGAAATTTCCTCCCAGATACTTTCAGCAGATTTAACACTGAGATTAAGACATGTCGATTGTAAAGTA